AGATGACGATCTCGGTTGAGATGTTGATCTTGGTTGACATGATGATTTTAGTTGAGATGTTGATCTTGGTTGAGATGTTGAATTTGGATGGGACAAAACTTATTTTCTAGGTTCCTGATGAGTTGATACTGGGATCTTGATGTTCTTGAACTAGCACGTCATAATCTCTGCTAGTAATGTGATCTCTGTTGAGATGTTGGACCTGGATGAGATAGAACATGATGGTTCTTGATTCTTGATTCTTGACGAGTGGACATTTAAGTCCTTGTTTCTTTATGCCAACGAGTCATGACCTCAGTCGAAGGAGAATTTCTAGCATGTTGTTTAGCTGATAAGTTGGAAGATCAGATGATATAGGTTCCATCACCTCAAGTTGCTGAGATAATAGAACTTTGGGTGCAGTTGTGGGAAGTATTTTGAAAATGACGTCACGTGGCCAAAGTGCCTTTAAGATGTCAGCCGAGGTGCTACGTGGGCGAGTCATGTTTGCTGAGGTGATTGCGGCGTTGCTGAGGTTTGGTGCAGTAATGCCGGAATATGAGATATTCGGATAGAGGACAAGAGTCCTAGATGACATTAAGCTGCCTATTTAGATAAAGATGAGACTCTTGAGGAAGTTCATCTTAATCTGAATAGTGTCAGTTGTGATAGTTGTTATCCTTGTAAATGATAAAGTCCCATAAAATAAGACTTTTAAGGGAAGTTGAACATTGATCATTATAAAAGTGAGGCACCCCCGTAGGTCTAAGGTATATTTTTATTTGTGATGCTTTTATTCGTACATTGAATACTTGTTTAATATCTTTGAGACATAAGTTGACTGATGTGATCGTCGGAGTGCCCTCGGGTGGACAAGCCACCGAGGTATTCTCATCTTCTTATTAGCAGGTAATTGGCTTAATCTATTCTGTCGCGTGCTCTCCAACTAAGTTTCCTATTTGGTTGTGTGGTCGAAAATCAACACCCACACTAATAAAAATTAAAATATTAACTCAAACTTTATAAAATATAATAATAATAACATTCAAACCATATAAATGTTAACTTAGATTGTATGAATAAAAAATAATAATAAACCATACAAATAGTAACAATGTTAGTTTATTTGGATAAATATTGTATAACTTTTAAACTATAAATAATTTGTTTATAAAATTAATATTGTTAAGAATATATCAACAACACATTTAAAATGAGATTAATATTAAATGTATTTAATAAATTTAACATAATAATTTAAAATAATTTAAAAAATACACTATGTTAAAATATTAAAATATTTAAACTGAAATGTCTGATTAAAATTGATATGAACAAAAATTGAGCTTGTTTGAGAATTGACAGTTTTAGTTGACTTTTTAAATTTTTACAAAAAACGTGCAAAAAAGTAAAGTGGGGAGCAATGCTAGAGACCCATAATTTGGACCCCTAAATATACCCACAATGATGTGGCAAGAAAGGTAGGCCTTATACAATTGAGTATATGATAAATCAAAAGTTGACGTGTATCCAATAACATCATTGTGGACCAAATTGTGGGAGATGATTAGTGGGTCTTAAATATTTTTCTATAAACTATTTAAATTACTTAAATAAAAATAATTTTCAATTCTTCAGACTTTAAACACTAATGATCATTATTTTGTCACATTTGCAAAATTATTATTTTTTAAACTACAAATAAGTTTGATGAAAAAAAAAAGAAGATATTTTTTAAATCTTAAAATTACATTTTTTAAGATTTAAAGATATCTTTTTTAAATTTAAATGATCAAAAGTAATTTTTTGTACCAACTTTAGCCACACATCACATTTTAATTATTCAAATATTTCAAAATAATGCAACTTTTATTTTTAAATTTTTTTATTTTATATCTTTTATTAAATATTCTCAATATTATTGTTGTTTTAAAAGTATGGTCCATATCATCTCAATGTTGTAAATTTTAAAAAAATCAGATTTATATTTTAAAATTTATACATAGTTTATAAAAATAAAAATAAAAAAGTCACTAAAATTATCAACAAAAAAGAATATTTATCAACAAAAAATAAGATTGAACATAAAAATATTAACACAAATCATATACTAAAAATACTAAAAATAGTTACAAAAATTAGTTAAAAAAAATTAATCACATAATATATTTCAATTTTATAAGTAGTTATAAAAATAGCAAATGAACAGATAATATGGTAGATTTGTTCAAAATTAGAACAGATAAGGGCTTGGTATTGCAATAGATAGGGGTTGAATTGACTCTGTATTTCAACAGATAGAATTTTGTTTGGATTGCACATGATCTTGTTTATGGATTATGATGTGGTGGTGGTTGTTGACAATATATATATATATATATATATTGTTCTTTGGTTTGAAACAGATAGATTTGTGGGGGTGTTTGTGGTGATGGTCTATAGTTCTCTCTCCCCTCTTTTTTTCCTTCATTCATATAGATAGTGAGAAAGATCTATTGTTATTGTTGTTGTTGATAATGATTGCAACAAATAGACATAATAAGTCTGGTTTGATTGCTCTACAAAATTTATACAGTTAAAAATTATACATATGTGAAAAACTATACAAATAAAATTTGAATAGAAAATTTTTAGATAAGAATATTGAATAGATAAAAAATTGGATAAGTAAAATTTGAATAGATAGAAAATTTGCACAGATAAAATTTAGACAGATAAAAAATTTACAGATAAAAATTTGATTATGTAGAAAATTTATACACAAAAATTTGAACCGATAGACCAAAAAATTTGAATAGATTGATATAAATTTGAACAGATAGTGAACAAAAAGTCAAACAAATAAAAAAAGTCAAGGAGTAAAATTGAAAATAAAATATCCTCTAGGACTTCTCACGAAACTATTTTACAAAGTGTGGACCTCTTATCAATAAAAAAAATATATTTTGGACTTAATGCCTTATAATCTCTTTAGATTGGATTTATCACCAATTAACCTTTTAAAAAAATTTGAATGGGCTGCAATTTAATTGCCTTCCAAGTCTAGTCTAGGTCTAGTTTGTGTGGGGGTGCAAGTCGAATCTCTGTATGGGTGCAAGTCCAATTTGTGTGGGGTGCAAGTTGAATATATGTGGAGTTGCAAGTCCAGTCTATGTGGGATGTAACTCAAATCTGTATGCTAGTGCAGTGTAAGTCCAATTTGTGAATTAATATTTGTATTGTCTAAATATATATTTTTTATTTGTATGGTTTGAATTAATATTTGTACGGGTGAAATATTATTTATTATTATTTTATTAAAAATTGCACAATATAAAAATTATTTGTAGTTTAAAGTTGAAATATAATATAAAAATTAATTTTTTAAAACTAATTTTTGGTTGAAGCTTAAAAGTTGAAATAATTAGTTTTAAAATATCATAAAAAATTAATATTTGTAAATATTTTATATTTTCAACTATTTTTATTATATGGGATTTGATTTAATATTACACAAATTTTAAGAAAAATAATAATAAATAATATTTCACCCATATAAATATTAATTCAAATCATACAAATAAAGAATATATATATTCAAACCATACAAATATTAATTCACAAATTGGATTTGTACGCCTACACAAATTAGAATTGCATTTTCAACTTGCATCCCATACAAATTGGATTTGTAGCCCCACACATATTCAACTTGCACCCTACACAAACTGAACTTACACCCCACATAGACTAAACTTGCACTCCTACATAGATTTGACTTGCACTCTACACAGATGGACTTGCACCCCTCACACACTAAACTTCCACCCCACACAGACTAAACTTTCAATTATCATATTTGATTGAATTTTGTCTTCCTATAAAATAAAATAAAAATTTACAAAAAAGATAGAATCATATGAAATTGATTTTTTTTTTCTTTTAGAAAAATAGAAGACAGAATTCAATAAAAAATGATGAATTGAATTTCTCTTGTCTTAATTTTTTGAAACTATTTTTAATGCTAAAATATATGTGACTATTTTTTAAAATTATTTTTAATGAGTTTTTTTTTTTTGTATTAATTTGTCTTATTTTTATTGTATGATTTGAGTTAAAAAAAAATACAAAATAATATTGATATGGCTTAATTATTATTATTATTTGTATGGTTTAATTATTATTTGTATGGTTTATTATTATTTATTTATACAATCTGAGTTAACATTTGTGTGGTTTAAATATTATTACTATTATTATTTTGTACAATTTGAATTAATATTTTTAGTTTTATTAGTCTTTACGTTTTTTAGTAAATAAAAATAATATTTTTTATTTAAAAAGTAATTCTAAATAATTATTTTTTATATTATTTTCAAATCATACAAATCATTTTAATTTTGTAATTTTTTTATATATATTTTTCAAATTATTAATTTAAATTTTTATTAAATATGTTAAATATTAGTCTCATTTTAAATATTTCGTTGATATTTTTTAAATAATATTCACTTTTTTTTGTTTCAATTTTCATAATTCACTATTCAGAAATTTTTATTTTTTCATTTTCCTAATTATTCATTTTCTGAAAAAAAAATATTTTAAGCAATTTTTAAAATTTTTAGACACACTTAACATAAATACACTTAAAAAATATAATATTTGTAAAAAAATATTTAAAAAATAATAAATACCAAAAATAAAAAATATAAAAATTCAGTATATTTTTCATATTTTTGTGTATTATTAATTTTTAAAATATTGGTTCACAAATATTTTATTATTTAGATACATCTAAGTAAAGTGTATCTAAAAAAGTAAAAAAAAAAAATTGCTTGAAATTTTAAAAATATTCACTAAAATCAAAAAACACAAAAAAATAATAAAAAAACTTTTAGAAAACTGAATTCAAAAAATTAAAACCAAACATACTGATTAATTTTATAAAAATTAAATTTATATATTAAAAATTATACGTATTTTATTAAAATAGAATAAAATAAAATTTGTTTTGTTTTATATTTAAAAAAAAAATAGAGGTGGGTGATGTCACGTGAATCTAGTTCCGTTGCCGCTGTTTCAAGCCTCTTTTTCCATTTCCTTTTGTTTGTGAACCCTAACCCCTCTTTGAGAGAGACAAACAGAGAAGGCAATGCAGGTAGCCGACTGACTCCTGAGGTTCTCAGGCATTCCCTCCCTTCCAAGATCTTCTAGCCACCTTCAGAGTCGTCTCTCTCCAGAGGATCCAAATGGGTTCTTTAGTCCGATCTCAAAAATGCCTCTTCTGTCTCCCGCAAAGCATTGAACCCTCTTCGGGCTTACGTTTCTCTCCCTCAGGTCACATTTGGCCCCAAAAGGTCATTTCTCTTCTTTCCTTTGCTTATTCATAGTTTTTAGATTGTGGCTTCAAGTAGTTTTGTTTAATTCAAGTATCAATTTAGTTTTCAGATTGTGGGTTCTAATGTTTTGAGCATGATTCAAGATTTTGGTAGCTAACAAAATGTTGGGGAAAATGGAAGTTTTTATCTTCATACTCTGTTTGGTTTGAAAGTTGTAATTTAGTTGCTATGATTTTGATCAATTGCTACTCTGTTAAATGCAGGTGGCAGTTGCCTAATATAGATAGCTCTGTTTTAGCGTCCACTGCCAATGAATTACGCCGTGACAAATACACACCTGTTAATCCTGAGAAGTTGAAGGCTGCAGCTGTAGGGCTATCACAAAGTAGGTTTAGAATGATTTTCATTTAGTGGATATGAATGTCTGTTCATTTTCTTCTTGAAAATCTAATTGTACTTGGCTTTATCCTTGGGATTATGAGGGTTCTAGTTTGAATTTTACTTGAATGATGGGTCTTTGATTTTGTATTTTCTGTTTATTTGATTTCTATCTGTTGTATAAATGATAAAAATTGTGTTCCTGTCCTGTCATTAGATTCCATGAAAAAAGAAAAAGAAAGGGAGGGGAGGGGGGAAATTTTAGATTGGAGAGGCTTGGCTCAATGGCTAGGCTTGTCGTTAGCATTCTTAGAAAAGCAATACAATGATACAGGATGTTTGTCTTATACAAAAACCTTCTGTTGTCTTTGGCAGTGCCGCCTTGATGGTTGGACAGGCAGCGTCCAAACTAGAGCTGCACAATGTAAGTGTACATTTTCCATGCTTTGGCTCTTAAATTTTTCTCCACATCATGGACTTTTAATTTCACAAATTAGTTAATGACAATGAAAAACAACCTCCATAAGTTTTTCTTTAAGTATATGTGAACACAAACGCATGCCCAAACATACAAATGCCTACAGTGCATGGTTGAAATTAGTTAGCAATAGAACTATTTTATATTTGGGTAAATTATACAGACCTCCTCTAAAAAATGAATTTATTACAGTTCATCTCCTTAGTTTGAAAATATTACACAGACCACAAATGGATTTGAAGCTTCTTTGTAGGTAAGCAAGTAGTTCGCCTGTAAAGAGCATCGTGAAACTGTAATTTGCAATCTTTGGCAACAAATCTAGACATGGAGGCCATAGAAGATTGGATGGAAAGGGAAAGACAAAGAATCGATGGAGGGGGTTTGCAATCTCGAGGCTGCAATTTGAAATCTTTGCAATTAATTCCTTTTTTTGATTTATTTGATTTGTTTGGAAATCTGGGTATGATATTTGGTTTGAAATCTGGATTTCTAAGATGCACTGCAAGTGCTTGTGAAAATGTTTGATTGAATATAGTTGTTTCACTTTTGTTAACAAGTTCATCACCCTCTCTTGTTAATTTTCTTCATATACTAGTGGATTTTTTTTATTTTTTATTGGGCTGTGGTCTTGATTGTTACAATGAAAGTGGTGGTGATGATGTTGCTACCAATGGAGATGTAATTAACTGTAATAGTGGAAGTAGTGTACAATGTTATTTTTAATTGAAAGGAGTAACAGACAAACATAACCAAAGTTTTGAACACAAACACAAATAGAGAGGGTTAGTTTTAGTGTTGGTCATGGCATCTACATACTGATTTTCTGCTCTGTGAGTATGAGATATGGAGCTAAATCTCAATCTTCAACCAAAGTTACAAGCAGAGCTCACATTTAGCCCCTTCTTGGATCAATTTGACTGCTATTTTAAATGAAGATTATATCTCATTGAATATTTCCTATTTCCATGTCAATTTTATGAAGAATGAGTTGAAGAAAATAGAATCAAACTAATTAAAAGAAAGAGAGGGAAAGAAAGAGATAAAAATTAAAATTTAGCATCAGCTACACAGGTTTTGTTATAGTAGTTAGAGATAACAAGAAAGAGAATTTCCATTACAGATAGCAGAGATACAAATTTATGTCGAATAGGGCCAAATGTAATTTTCCAGAAGATGTCTAGTACAAAACTTACGAGGAGTAAATTAACTTTGACGGCAAAAGCCTCGATCAAAATTGAAAGCGAATCTCCTAAACATTAACATCCTTTTATTTCAAATTTGTTCATAAAAGCAAAGATTGGCAAATCCAACTCAATTAAAAAGCAATCTTGTGATTCTGGAACCTCTTTTAGCAGTCAAAATTCCAAAAAGTCTCAAAAAATCGATTCAGCAATGCTAGCTATCACGAAAAGTCTTTAATGAAAATAATCATGAAAGATTTGTGATCTTTAAATTACACTTAGAATAAAATACCACACACTAATTAAGGTAATCTAAGGGTCATAAATTTTTCATGATTATTTTCATGAAAAATTTTTCATGATGCCTAACATTTCTCAAATCGATTTTGTTGGCATTTACCAAACCAAAAGTGAATAGAAAGTGTGAAGCTACTAAGGTTTCATGACCACAAAGTTTAACCTGCAAGTAGACATGCAAAATTTAGTATCCAGATTAAATCACTCACTACCATAGACTTAGCTATTGAAACACAATTCTTAATTACCACACTTTGTTATATATTGAGCATTAAATTAACTTAATATTTTAAATTACACAAGATTAAGGGTAGAAAATAAAAGCTAGTTTGCAAAATCACATAAATGCTCATTGATGGAAAATAATTTTATTTTTTTATTTTATTTTTTATTTTTTTATTATGGAAAACATATTTATAATATGATGCAAAGCAGCCAACATTTTACATGCACCATGATTCCATCTAGGGTTTTCAAAAGTTTTGATCATTTGACAACTCTCCACATGATTTTTTGCTTTTTCTATTACAAATCAAAACAGATTTTGCTTCAAATTGACCAAACCAGAACAGATTTTTGCTTCAAAACTTCACCTAAATTGTTGACTTATCTCCAAACCTCCAGTTATATCACAAGTTGATAGTCTGTTTATTGAAAACCAATTAAGTCAAAAAGAAAAATTTAGTTTGCAACAAAAATTCTTCAAGATCATTGTATATCAAGATTATCTCTCGACATTTATCAAATAGTTGGTTTGCAACACAAAGTGTAATACAAATCACAAGAAATGCTTCCAAAATGCAAAACAGAAATTTCAGTAATACAAATCACAAAAAATGATTTCCAAAATACAACATGCTACAAGTGCACTGTGAAATGCAAATTCAATATGCTACAAGCTTATTATGTGTTGAGGAAAATTTCATGTCTATGATACTATACCAACTATATTTAAGAATATGACTTCAAATATTTGCTTTTATAATCCATTGCATAAAACATGCTCTGTCTTCTGGTGAGTTTTGAAATATATGTTAAAAATCCTCACTTTAACCAACTCTAAATTTTCACACAAAATTGGGCTGGGTGTTTTCACATAAAAGCAAAACTTAACTATTGTCATCACAAAGTTCCAATCTGTGAAGACATTTGATATTCACATTTTGACATATCTAATCAATTAACACCAAAATCTGTTCCAAAACCTCAAACATATCTTGATTTTTAAACCACTAACATTAGCAAAATTGAAAAGCAACAAGCAAAGAGTTTAAACTGACCGCAATAAGCCTATTAACTCAGTAGATGTGCCCCATTTTATAAGAAAACATATCAAGCACTATCTTGTGAGTAATATAAGAGCCCCTCCTCAATCTTCAAAAAAAATCCAATTGCCACAGTTTACCCAATAATCCAATTGGCACACTTCCATAAAAAATAAACAGCCAAACTGTATAGATACAATCATATATACGTATATATGTATATAACAACAAGAAATGAAAGAGACTGAAATGAATCTCATCATGGCTGCAATCTCGTCTTTCTGTTGTCGCGTCATCGCTGGACTTAGTGTCGTCTGCCATCCTTTGGCCTTCGTCGTCGCGTCCCTCCGCCATCCGCTGTCCTTTGCCGTCCCGTCCCTCAGTTTGGCTCTATCATTCGTTGTCGCGTCCCTCAGCCATCTCTCTATCTCTTCGTTTCTCTCTTCGTCGTGTTCCTCTGTTTTTCTCAGTTCGTCTCTCCGCCAATCTCTCTCTCTGTCTTGCGTCTCTCAGTTTGTTTCTGTGTTAGGGCTAAACACAGATAAAAGAGATGAAACTAAAAAATGGGGTAAACTCAAAATTTGAAGAGGAAAAAAAAAACACACAACACTAATCAATACGACGTCGTTTTGGATAAGGCAGCTGGGAGGGCCGCAAGAAAGTAAGACTAATGATTTGAACTCGATGTGATGTGTACTTTGGAGAGAGAGAGAGAGAGAGAGAAGAGAAGAGAAGAGCGAGTGACGCGTGGGGGAGCGGTTGATTATGTCAGGGGTTTGATTGTGTCAGTGTGTGATGTAGATGAGAGAGATTTGAGAGTTACAGGTAAAATGATAAATAACTATTAATTTTTCATACTTGTGTAATTTTCAAAGATTTCTCATTTATTTTGTGATTTACATCTTCTGTCCCACTGGCAAATAATTCTTCCAAATTTTAACATCATTGTTGTATTAGGTGAAATGAGTCATCTCGGACTAGATTTGCCAACATTATATTGATTTTTAAATGTCATAATAGTCTATCAATGTAGTCTTTAACTTTTAAAATTTAATGGGCCAATGTTATAATATTTTTTTCCTGGAAAATGCATGAGACCCCAGTGGGGTGTTGGGATCTCTTTTGATTGGTAAAAAACTATTTATTTATTTATTTTTATTTTTTTTTTCTCTATTGGCAGCCCTCACGTGGAGGTGAGGGTGCTGGGGGTCGTTCCGTACAGGGGTTTGAAGCAACGCTCTTTTTCCCCTTAGGATTCATGCGCTAATATAAGGTGAGCAGAGGGTCCAAAATAAAATTTCTTGATAATGATTTATGAAAATAAAATTCGTGATTTCTAGCAAACATAACATTTAAAGTAATTCACTATAAAGTTCAAAGAATCATTTTGAGGTCCACCAATGCAACAGACATTCAACGGATCTAGAGATACAAGTAATGTTCGGTTGTAGTACCAGCTAACACGTGATGCATAATGCTCTAACTAGCAGTCACACCCTATGTAGCTTGCTTGTTTCCCAGCAAGTGATAGCCACTCGCGTCCGGATCCTCTAGAGTAACTCTCTAGAGTGATCTCCTAAAGTGGATGATCGGACGGTTCAGAATAGTCCTCACCAAAACGACGTCGTTTGGGGAGGATTTTAAAAAAAAAAAAAAAAAAACTTTTTTTTCCTGATTTCAAAACAAAGAACGAGGGTTCCTGTTGAATGCAAATCTGAAATGAGAGAGAGAGAGAGAGAGAGAGAGAGAGAGAGAGAGAAGGGCCCGACTCGCCACCGTCGCCGCTGCCACTCGCCACTGCCGCTGCCACACCGCTGGGTCACCATACTCCAATAGATTGAAAGATAAAACCACAGGTTCGTTCATCCTCTAAACTTCAAATATTAGGGCTTTGATTCAAAAAATTAGGGAAAAAATCAAAAAATATGATCTTACGGTTTTGATTTGAGATTTTTTACATGATTTATTTCAGATCTATACTTAGAGGAACCGAACTGTAGATGATTGGAATCATCAAAGAAATTTATGAATATGTTTATATATATATATATATATATGCATCTGTGTGTAATGGGCCTGAAATGGGCATTTAATCTGTGTGTAATTTAAATTAATGACACAGAGCTGTAGTATTTAAATTCCAAACATGGGCATCTGTGTGTAATTTAAAATGACCCTCTATTTGTATAATTTAATCTGTGTGTAATTTAAATATAGTATTTCTCTGGTTGATCATAAAATAGGCATTCTCAGTTTGGAAGACAGAGGAATGTAAGAGAATGATATATGTAATTAAGTTTGTTTCGAGTCAATGAGCACTAATTATATTTGGTGTTTCTTCACCTAACACTAATTTCACAAATATTATTGTATCTCCTTTTGTTTTATTAACCTCTACCACTTGCTACTTTTTTGTCTACAATTATCCCTACTCCATTCACATGTTTTTCTTTTTCAACATACCAAATTTTATATCATGTTCTTTCAAATTCGTTAGATTTTTTTTTACCCATTTAGTTTCTTGTAAACAAATAATATTAATTCTCTTTTTAAAGTGTGGGAACCCTTGCTTATTTTTCACCACACCTGAGCAGTGATGTAACTAGTGACTTGGAAGAACTCCCTTGCTGATCTGTGATGCACGATCCACATTAGGACTGAAATAGGGTTTTAGCTTATGTCACATGGTAAAGGTTAGATGTCACTTCAACTGTTCTGGTTGGTTGGGATGTTGCAGAGTTGTGTGATTGTGTTTTGAATATGTAGAGGAACAATTTCAACAGGTTAGATGTAACTTGGTTTTAGTTGATTTCTCCTTCTGTAAGAAGGAAAGTATTCAGCAAAAGATCTGTACTTCTCAGCAACTTAAGATACCAATCTGTTGCTAGTTTATTTGGTTCTCTAAATATGAGCCATATCTACAACGTCCAATTCTGGCATCAGTTAACATTGCTCTAATCGGCATCCAAAGCCTCAAAGAGATAATTACATTCTTTGAATTACCTTTCACGATGATTCACTTTCCATTTTACACTCTACTGGTCTCTTTTATGTAATGTATTTATGGGAGGGTGTGTGGGTGGGTGCATCGCCAGATGCATCAGTTCAATTCATGGATTTACAATTTTCTTAAGTACAATTCATGAGTTTACTTTTTACAAATTTCGTTTGTCCTTTATTGATTAACTAATTCTTGTCCATTGTAGTCTACGAACGACCATTGCAATTACTTCAGGTGGTTCGCAGATGACGACGACGACGACGACGACGACGACATTACCGCATCAACTTCAATCAATGCTGGACCTCGGTCAAGAACAAAAGAAATTAATGATCTAAGGACAACGCTTGGTGAGCATGATAGAAGGCTTCAAAGGATGGAGAAGATGTTCAAGGCAATGACTTATGTCATTGTATTTTGTGTATTTTTGTACTTTATCTTGTAAATGACTCAATGTAATCTACTTTGTGTATTTTGTGTATTCAAGAACAATGTACTTTTGTATTTTAGGTTTTCGAACATGCTATGAATGTAATCTACTTTTGTACTTGTTTTGTAATATTTTTTTGGTGCTTAAAAATCTTATGGCTTGCAAAAACAAGTGTATAACAGGTTTGTTTGAGATGAAATCTGTTGAATTTTTGGTTTGTGAAATCTATTGAGTTATGTTGGTTGAACATGTTGAATTGAAATGTGTTCAATGAACAGGTTCAACAAGTTGAATAACAAGGTGTTCAATGAATAGGTTGAACGGGTTCAAGGTATATAACAGGTTTCTTTGATATGAAATGTGTTGAATTGTTAAAGTGGGTATTGATTATGAACAGGTTCAAGGTGTATTTTAATTGATGTATGCTGCCAAATTGATGTATGCTGCCAAATATGGTGTATTTTATGAAATTTCTATTCAAATTTCTGTTCAAATTTGCTGAAATTTGGGTTCAATTGTTGTTTAATTTTGCTGAAATTTCTGTTCAGATGTTGATGAACTTTTGATTAATTTTTGCTTAATGTTTGTTGAAATTTCTGTGCAAATGTTCCTGAAACTTTGGTTCAAATCTTGCTCAAATTTGGGTTCAAATGTTGCTTGAATAATGCTGAAATGTTGCTGAAATTGTTGTTGAAATTTTGCTCAAATGGAGTTAAAATGTTGCTGAATTTGTTGCTGAAAATTTGCTGAAGTAGAGTTGAAATGTTGCTAAAATACAGTTAACCTGGTGCAGATTTTTTTGCTGAAATAGAGTTAGATTTTTTTGCCAATCCTTGATGCACAATTTGTGCTTTACATTTGATATATGTTTGCCAATCCTTGGATGCCTTAATGAAATGATATATAGGAGTGAACTTATTTTAGAGGCTATTACGCAGCTTTGGACCTTAAATTATTATGTTTGCCAATCTTTTATTATTATTATTATTTGGCTTTTATGCAGCTTTGGACCTTAAATTTTCTTCTCAGTCAATTGTTTGGGTGATGTTTATGGACTGCACTTTACGCAAAGGTGAAAATATAGCTAGATGGATCAGAACATAGTTTTGGAACCATTCAGTTCAATTATATGCTTGGTGTGCATAGTCTAGAGTTGTGGACAAATTAAAGTGAATATGGCAGCTTGTCATTGCATTGAGAGAATATTCTGCTGTTTGGTGTAGTATTTCTACTTTTATGTAATGCAAAATAGTATACAAAACATAATTTTTCTACTAGGGAATCTCATCCAGAATGATGTGGTGCATTAGTATTTTTTAAATTATGAGCCACAATAAGCCTTGTGTGAAAATATTTACTCAGTTGTGAGAAAGGTACTTCAATGAACAACCTGAATTTCAGAAACCTGTTATATAACATTTTCAACATTATTCAACATTTCAACATTCAACATTATTCAACATTTCAGAAACCTGTTATACAACATTCAATATTTTCAACATTTCAACATTCAACATTATACAACATTTCAGAAACCTGTTATACAACATTCAACCTGAAGTAATAGATTTCACAAACTGTTCATTCAACATTTCATCTCAATCAAACATGTTACACACTTGTTTTTGCAAACCATCAGATTTTTAAGCACCAAAAAAAAATTCCAAAACCTAAGAACTGAGTCATTTACATGATAAAGTACAAAAATACACAAAATACAATGACATAAGTCATTGCCTTGAAAATCTTCTCAATCCTTTTAAGCCTTCTATCATGCTCACCAACCCTTCTCCTTAAATCATTAATTTCTTCTGTTCTTGAATCTGTCGGAGGTCCAACATTGGCACGGATTGATGAGGTAATGTCGTCGTCGTCGTCGTCGTCATCATCTGCGAACCACCTGAAGTAATTGCAGTGGTCGTTCGTAGTCTACAACGGACAAGAATCAATAGAAGATGAAGCCATTATTTTTTCTGCATAAAAAATACCAACATATTTCTGAAATGTCAAGAACTATATTATGTACTATACTATGCATGCTTGTTCTTCTTAACAACGTATTGTGCTATTATGGTTTTTGTTTTTGTCGTAGAGATAAATATCTAAATTCTTTTTGCAGGAACTGAATAATTATTTGACAGTGAGCACATCTACATCTGTAATTGTTGACAAGAGTTCTGATGGGGAATTTTTGCGCATTGATTTTAATGTTAGGTATTGTCTTATGATCATAATTCTATTCCTCATGAAAAAATATCCATTATGGTTTTGTATTCTTTATATCATTTTTTTTTTCAAATACTGCGACAGGCAGCTGTAAGAACCCACACTGTTCTTATTTGTGTAAAATAAACGATGGCAAAATTCAGTTCTTTGACTAGAATGGAGGTCATGAGATTCTGTTAATAGAGAACCTCTATTGCCTGTATTCCTTGTAATTACTATGTTGATACATACTTCTCTTGAAAATAAACTAATCATATTGCATCATATATATTGGTGTCATCGCATATGTCCACACCTTTGGAGGTGAGACCACTTCTTCAGTATACAGGAGATGGCCTAAATATGTTGTATTATCAGGCTAGTCTGGGAAAGAATTAAACTTCAGACCTTTGGGTTATCTCTAGAGCTTCAAATGATGCCAGTTACACCTGTGCAGGTGAGGCATTATGGGTACACTGATGGTGTCTAACAAGCTTACTGTGTAATTTTAGATTTCAGTAGCTGTGGCATATCTGCTTATACCCTTAACATGACGAAATTCTATGAAGTTCCTACTAAGTATATATATAGTTCTAATAAAAGGATGCAATATTACAGTTGTAATAATTTTTTTGCCTGTGCTACAGATTTCTGGATCCAGGATCATACCACAACAGCATAAAAGGAAGAAACAGGATAAAGTAAACAAGGAAGAAAAAAGGAAACAAGGAAGAAACAGGACAACTAATGAAGAATAGTAACTTGACTTCCTTTTTTGCATAAATCTGTTGCTGAAATATTATTCTTCACTGGATGCAATATTACAACAGCATAAAAGTAAACTTATTTTGCTGAAATCTACCTTATTTTGCTGAAATCCCAAACCCTAACACCAAATAGCAAACAAAAATAGCAAACAAAATCGAACCCTAACTTTGCGATTTCAGGTTTACCTCAGATTCCCGTTCGTCCTCCGTCCTCCGTCGTGCTTCATCTGCCTCCGCCGCGTTCGTCCTTTGAACCCCAAACACTCCTTTGAACTCCTTCGCACTCTCGCCCTCTCGCCGTCTGTATACATATGAAAAGGAATTTTGAAATCCCTGATTCTGTTTTTTTTCTTTTTTTTTTTTTTTTTTTTTTTTTTTTTTTTTCAAAATACTCACCAAAACGACGTCGTTTTGGTGAGGATTAAGCACAGCCGTCCGATTATCCACTTTAGGAGATCACTCTAGAGAATTACTCTAGAGGATCCGCTCGCTAGACACTCGGCCAGTCGTCTACTTACAGTTCCAAACATGGAGTCCATGCCTAAACCATCCATGGAAAGTGATGATAAGCTACACATAGTTATGCTCCCATGGTTAGCCTTCGGTCACATGATTCCTTTCTTAGAGCTCTCCAAGCTCATAGCTCAAAAGGGTCACACAGTCTTCTTTGTATCCACTCCTAGAAACATCGACAGACTCCCAAAAATGCCTCAAAATCTAGCCCCTCTCATCAATCTAGTGACGCTTCAATTTCCTCAGGGCGAAAAACTCCCCAAAAACGCAGTCCACCGCCGATCTTCCCTATGACAAGGTCAAGTATCTGAAGATGGCCTACGATCAACTCCAACAACCCATGACTCAGCTTCTAGCAGATATGGCTCCCGATTGGGTGATTTACGATTTCGCACCTTATTGGCTAGGCCCTGTTGCTGCCAAACTTGGCATTTCTAGCGTCTTCTTCAGCATCTTCATTGCCGCTACATTGTGCTTTGTTGGTCCCATACCAGTCTTGAAGGGCGAAGATGATCGTACAACGCCGAGGACTTCACTGTTACACCCAAATGGATCCCCTTTACATCTAACATCGCATGCTATCGGCTCTTTGAGATTAAGCGTATCTTTGATGACGTAGCCAGTGTCGATGACGAAAACATTCCCGGCACATATCGGTTAGGAGCAGGCATCGAAGCTTGTGACGTGTTGGCTGTGAGAAGCTCTTATGAGTTCGAACCCGAATGGTTAAAACTTCTTCAACAGATTCACCAGAAGCCGATTACACCCATCGGTCTACTGCCCACCACGGCGTATGATAGTAGTGACAACGGTGAAGCTTGGACGGAGATTAAAGAGTGGCTTTTTATTGGGCTGTGGTCTTGATTGTTACAATGAAAGTGGTGGTGATGATGTTGCTACCAATGGAGATGTAATTAACTGTAATAGTGGAAGTAGTGTTACAATGTTATTTTTAATTGAAAGGAGTAACAGACAAACATAACCAAAGTTTTGAACACAAACACAAATGGAGAGGGTTAGTTTTAGTGTTGGTCATGGCATTTACATACTGATTTTCTGCTCTGTGAGTATGAGATATGGAGCTAAATCTCAATCTTCAACCAAAGTTTCAAGCAGAGCTCACATTTAGCTCCCTCTTGGATCAACTTGACTGCTATTTCAAATTAAGATTATATCTCATTGAATATTTCCTATTCCATGTCAATTTTATGAAGAGTGAATTGAAGAAAATATTAACAGGTTTTGTTATATTAGTCAGAGGTAACACGATAGATAATTTCCATTACAGATAATAGAGATACAAATTTATGTCGAATAGGGCCAAACGTAATTTTCCAGAAGATGTCGAATAGGGCCAAACGTAATTTTCCAGAAGATGTCGAATAGGGCCAAACGTAATTTTCCAGAAGATGTCGAATAGGGCCAAACGTAATTTTCCAGAAGATGTCGAATAGGGCCAAACGTAATTTTCCAGAAGATGTCGAATAGGGCCAAACGTAATTTTCCAGAAGATGTCGAATAGGGCCAAACGTAATTTTCCAGAAGATGTCTAGTACAAAACTTACAAGGAGTAAATTAACTTTGACGGCAAAAGCCTTGATCAAAATTGAAAGCGAATCTCTTAAACATTAACATCCTTTTATTTCAAATTTGTTCATAAAAGCAAAGATTGGCAAATCCAACTCAATTAAAAAGCAATCTTGTGATTCTGGAACCTCTTTTAGCAGTCAAAACTCCAAAAAGTCTCAAAAAATCGATTCAGCAATACTAGCTATTATGAAAAGTCTTTAATGAAAATAATCATGAAAGATTTGTGATATTTGAATTACACTTAGAATAAAACACCACACACTAATTAAGGTAATCTATGAGTCATAAATTTTTCATAATTATTTTCATGAAAAAATTTTCATGATACCTAACATTTCTCAAATCGATTTTGTTGGCATTTACCAAACCAAAAGTGAATAGAAAGTGTGAAGCTACTAATGTTTCATGACCACAAAGTTTAACCTGCAAGTAGACATGCAAAATTTAGGGTATGTTTGGTTTGTATTTGGGAGATGAGTTTTAGAAAAAATTTTCTAAAAAATTGTTTAGTTTGAGTTTTTCTCAAAAAATTTCCAAAATCACTCTCTCTCTCTTACACATCAATCAATCACTTTTTCTCTCTCCTCTCTCATTCTCAATCATTTTTTCTTTCACACATATCTACTCAAATTCTCCCAAAATATCAAACCATCTAAAACTCCCAAAAAAACAACTCTCCCAAAATATACTACCAAACAAACCAAAAAAATTTCTAAACTCTCTCCTTAAATTTTTTTTCAAAAACAACTCTCCAAAAAACAAACCAAACAAGCCCTTAATATCCATATTAAATCACTCACTACCATAGACTTAGCTATTGAAACACAATTCTCAATTACCACACTTTGTTATATATTGAGCATTAAATTAACTTAATATTTTAAATTACACAAGATTAAGGGCAGAAAATAAAAGCTAGTTTGCAAAATCACATAAATGCTCATTGATGGAAAATAATTTTTTTATTTTTTATTTATTTTTTATTTTTATTATGGAAAACATATTTATAACATGATGCAAAGCAGCTAACATTTTACATGCACCATGATTCCATTAGGGTTTTCAAAAGTTTTGATCATTTGACAACTCTCTACATGATTTTTTGCTTTTTCTATTACAAATCAAAACAGATTTTGCTTCAAATTGACCAAATCAGAACAGATTTTTGCTTCAAAACTTCACCTAAATTGTTGACTCATCTCCAAACCTCCAGTTATATCACAAGTTGATAGTCTGTTTATTGAAAACCAATTAAGTCAAAAAGAAAATTTTAGTTTGCAACAAAAATTCTTCAAGATCATTGTATATCAAGATTATCTCTCGACATTTATCAAACAGTTGGTATACAAATCACAAGAAATGCTTCCAAAATGCAAAACAGAAATTTCAGTAATGCAAATCACAAAAAATGATTTCCAAAATACAACATGCTACAAGTGCACTGTGAAATGCAAATTCAATATGCTACAAGCTTATTATGTGTTGAGGAAAATTTCATGTCTATGATACTATACCAACTATATTTAAGAATATGACTTCAAATATTTGCTTTTATAATCCATTGCATAAAACATGCTCTGTCTTCTGGTGAGTTTTGAAATATATGTTAAAAATCCTCACTTTAACCAACTCTAAATTTTCACACAAAATTGGGCTGGGTGTTTTCACATAAAAGCAAAACTTAACTATTGTCATCACAAAGTTCCAATCTGTGAAGACATTTGATATTCACATTTTGACATATCTAATCAATTAACACCAAAATCTGTTCCAAAACCTCAAACATATCTTGATTTTTAAACCACTAACATTAGCAAAATTGAAAAGCAACAAGCAAAGAGTTTAAACTGACCGCAATAAGCCTATTAACTCAGTAGATGTGCCCCATTTTATAAGAAAACATATCAAGCACTATCTTGTGAGTAATATAAGAGCCCCTCCTTAATCTTCAAAAAAAATCCAATTGCCACAGTTTACCCAATAATCCAATTGGCACATTTTCATAAAAAATAAACAGCCAAACTGTATAGATACAATCATATATACGTATATATGTATATAACAGCAAGAAATGAAACAGAGACTGAAATGGACCTCATCATGGCTGCAATCTCATCTTTCTGTTGTCGCGTCGCCGCTAGACTTAGTGTCGTCCGCCATCCTTTGGCCTTCGTCGTCACGTCCCTCCGCCATCCGTTGTCCTTTGCCGTCCCGTCCCTCAGTTTGGCTCTATCATTCGTTGTTGCGTCCCTCCGCCATCTCTCTCTCTCTTCGTTTCTCTCTCCGTCGTGTTCCTCTGTTTTTCTCAGTTCGTCTCTCCTCCAATCTCTCTCTCTTTGTCTTGCGTCTCTCAGTTCGTTTCTGTGTTAGGGCTAAACACAGATAAAAGAGATGAAATTGAAAAATGGGGTAAACTCAAAATTTGAAGAGAAAAAAAAAACACACAATACTAATCAAAACGAGGTCGTTTTGGATAGGACCGCTGAGAGGGCCGCAAGAAAGTACGACTAATGATCTAAACCTTGATGTGATGTGTACTTGAGAGAGAGAGAGAAAAGATAGAGTGACGCGTGGGGGAGGGGTTGATTATGTCAGGGGTTTGATTGTGTCAGTGTGTGATGCAGATGAGAGAGATTTGAGAGTTCCAGGTAAAATGATAAATAACTACTAATTTTTCATTAGATTTCTCATTTATTTGTGATTTACATCTTCTGTCCCACTGACAAATAATTCTTCCAACTTTTAACATCATTGTTGTATTAGGTGAAATGAGTCATCTCTGACTAGATTTGCCAACATTATATTGATTTTTAAATGTCATAATAGTCTATCAATGTAGTCTTTTAACTTTTAAAATTTAATGGGCCAATGTTATAATATTTTTTCCCTGGAAAATGCATATGACCCCAATGGGGTGTTGGGGTCTCTTTTGATTGGTCAAAAACTGTTTTATTTTATTTTTTTGTTTTTCATTGACAGCCCCCCACGTGGAGGTGGGGGTACTGGGAGTCATTTCATACAGGGGGTCCGAAGCAACGCTCTTTTTCCCTTAGGATTCATGTGCTAATACAAGTTGAGCAGAGGGTCCAAAATAAAATTTCTTGATAATGATTTATGAAAATAAAATTCATGATTTCTAGCCAACATAACATTTAAAGTAATTCACTATAAAGTTCAAAGAATCATTTTGAGGTCCACCAATGCAACAGACATTCAACGGATCTAG